CTAGATTGGCTCTAAACCATTCCAGACAAAATGGCAATAGTTTATTGCTTGGAAATCTCGACTAGCGTGTAGATGCTCATCTAAAAAAGATAACTGGGAGCAGAGTGATCAGATGGACAGGACTACAGGAGCATGCAGAAACAAGGGGTTTACCTCACCTGCTGCAGGAATATAGCCATTCTGGACCTTGTCAAACAACTTGAATGCTTTTTCGATCCTTCTTTTGAATTAGTGTCCTTCGAGAAAATAAATCAGGTGAGCTAGTATATGATGTGCAGATGTGCTTGTGCTGCTAGTCCCATTCTAAAACTTTGCATCCTTGCTGCCTTCATGGTCTCAGGTACTTATCTTATTGAGAAGGTGCTATTTCTCTTACGCAAGAATGCAATGCACACTAGCATTTGAAACTCCTAATATGAAACTTCAATGCATACTACTAGCGGCTTGAAAGGTCTATTGCCAGCTTGATTAGACCAAAGCATACAGTAGTAATAGAAGCATCAGAGCATCGTACGGGTTTAAGTGTTAACAATGCATCTTCCTACAATATTTGCTGTCCAGAATACCCGACGAAACCTAGGGGGTGCCCCTGGCGGCGCCCCCCAGCCACCGCTGGCGGCCGCCATCCTGGCACCGATGGCCCCTCCACCTCCCATCTCTCCCCTCCCCACTCCCCTACCCAATCCCCTCACTGTCCTATAGACTCTGCCACCACCGGGGCGCCGCCGCCGCCGCTCCAATCGCGGGCGAGCGGATCTGGGGCCACCGGCGATGGCGCTGCGTGGCTGTCGCCGCCACCAATGCAGCAGTCTCCCACCAACGTCGAGATGGGAGGACCTTGCGTAGGTGACCCACGTGTGGGCGGATCCATGATTGCCGTTGACGTCACGCCGCCCTCGGAGGAGACCGGACCCCACGTGGACGGGCCCCAGACGGGCGGTTCCACAACTGCTTCCTCTGTCGATGCCTCCATGCAGCTGACTCCACCTCCGGTGCTGGGGCTAGATGGCACGGCCGCAACTGGCATGCAGCAACGCGTGGGAGCTGATTCTGGCATCGCTGGTGAACGTGATGGCCGATCCATCGTGCAGCTGCCGCCACAGGCCAAGGACCCCTCGCCCATGCCGGGGATTGCGGTTGTGAACCCGGTTCCTGGGCGATCGCCCTCCCTCTCCCCCTTTTCCGCCCCTTTCACCCAGGGGGTTTGGTGGGGTGCTCCAAGGCTCTTCAATGGGAAAATGACGACCTCCTTGATGACTATGATGTGGATGCGTCGCCGAACTCCTCCCCAACCCCCCTACCTCGATGCGATTCTTCGTGAGTCACAACCGCCGAGGACGTCAGCACCGCCTGCGATGGCCCGCCCCATGACTGTTGGTGGCGTCGACCATGACGGGGGCGGCGCAGGCGCATTAGCCATCGTCGGCCACGATCGAGGCTCATCCATGGGCTTCTTGTCCGTGGCAAGGATGCGGCGCCGACAGCATCCGGGCTGCACGGCGCGTGCCAGACGATCTGAGGCTCAAACCACACTCCGGCAGCAACAGGCGTATCTCTACTCCGGATGCTGATGGCTGGCGCGAGGTCCTATCATGAGGAACGCCAAACGGCTCTGACAGGGCAAGCACTGTGCGTCCTGCATGTTCGGAGGAATGTCCACCCTCCGCCCGCTTTCCGCCAACCTACATGAGAAGTGCTTCAATTGTCTCTGGTCCTCGCACCGAGTGGTGACATGTAGGCTACCCCCACGTTGCCTCTGTTGCAAGGGGTTTCGGACATCTCACGCGTGACTACAAGCGGCGGTAGTGGAAGCCTCCTATAGCTACCGGCGCAGGTGGCCGGACATGACCACTTGTCTAGGGCCATACCTCGGCCACCCAGCCGCCCACCAACGGTGGTCCAATGGAGTCGGTGGAGCTATGCCTGCATCGACTGCTACTGCGTCTGTCGACCAAGGGCGGCGGCGGCAGTGGCGAACGAGGCGGCAGAGGACAAGACATCGGAGATGGTCGGTGGTAGAACCACCGACTCCTCTAGCGACGCTATAGCTGATAGCAGCAAGACCACCAGCACCGCTGTGGCGCCAGAAATCACGGTTGCACCCGACTGTACTACCCAGGAGGGTCACAGTGAGCCCACCATCGAGGTTTGGGGCCTTTCCGAGCTCGATCTGTTGCTCACACAATTCTTGGATGCCACGCACACCACACGCAACGTCTTAGAGGACCTAATGATAAAGGAGATTGCAGCCTCGCTCGTGGTCTGTCGGACGACCACCGATGACCGCCTTGGTATCCCTGCTTAGACGGCAACGAGCTTCACTCCACGGCCGCCTAAACACGGTCAGGCTCAGGTCACACCACCTCGGGTGGCGTAGACCACCCCCTCAGGAGCTGCTGCCCCTACGGAGGATGAGGAGGGCGGTCCAACTAGCTTTGGTTTGCCCGAGGCCACGGTGGATACTGACATGTTCAGTACGCCGTCTCGGGAGGACCGCACTGTCGACGTCAGCGACAGCTCCACCGCACGCCGCCTCAAGAGCTTCACCAGGCACGTGCTAAAGAAGGTCGACTCTCCGCTTATTCGTGAGCCTCCCAAGCAGCCTCCTGCTAAGGCGGTGATGCCATGGCAAAGCAGACGGTTGGCGGCTCAGAGGCTCTCTCGAGTACCTACTTCCAAGCAAGGTGAGGTGCTGATCATGCAGCGTATGGGCTACACCAAGGGTCCATCAGCGTCATTCGCATTGGAGCTGGAGGCCTTTGATGACATCTTTGATGGTGCGTACAACGTTGAAGCACTGGACGCGCTCTTCCCAGACGGTGGAAAGGGCTCGTCCAGGCAGTCATGAAGACACAAGGCCCCCTCCTAGGTCACACCACTGCATCGGTATTGATTGTTTCCTTTTATGTAATATCAAACTAGAGATCTTCTGCTATGATGGTCTAGCTATGGCTATTTTAGGTCGACCTCCTTTTGGCGCTTGGTATATGCACGTTGTCTGTATGTACGCAAATCTTTTGCGTATTCGAGAAAAAATACAGTTCATGTATTCGTTGCACGCTTTTGGAACTAACTCACCTGATTTATGCTCTTGAAGGACACTTATTCAGAGGAAGAAGTGAAAGAAGCATTCAAAATGTTTGACAAAGACCGGGATGGCTATATTTCTGCAGCTGAGGTAAACCCCTCGATTAAGCATGTTCTTACCTACTCGATCACTATACTGCCAATTCTTTCTATAGAGGGACATCTACTCGAGATTTCCAAATAATAAACTTCTGGCATCAGTTAATATCATTTGACTCTGCAGCTCCGTGACATGATGGCAAACCTTGGGGAGCAACTGACTGACGAGGAGGTCAAAGGGATGATACGGGAGGCGGACACGAACGGTGATGGTCTTGTGAGCTATGATGAGTTCAAAACTTCAAACAAAGGATGCTGCTCAAATGAGTAGAAGAAGCACTATGACATAGAACATGTTGTTGTTGTCTGACTAACTGCTTAGACAAGAGTACATGATGGTTGATCCTCTTGATGCTAGTTACAGTACCCGTCACCGGTATGTAATTCCCCTTTGTAAACCACCTAGGCTTCTTATATGCAAAGTTTCTAGGAAGATAGGGTACATGGTTAGCACCTTTTCCAACTAGATTGTTAATGCTGAGGTTTGGAAAGTTTTGCCAAAGTTAGTGTACATTCATAGAGTATTTTTGTTGTTTGTCTGATGCAGAGCTGTATCGTGTGGATTTGATCGCTTGGATCAACATTGCAGCTGCTGTAGAGTCTAGCATCATTACCATTCTAGATTGGCTCTAAACCATTCAAGACAAAATGCCAACAGTTTTATTGCTTGGAAATCTCGACTAGTGTGTAGATGCTTGTCTAAAAAAGATAATTGGGAGTAGAGTGATCGGATGGATATGAGCATGCAGAAACGAGGAGTTTACCTCATCTGCAATATAGCCATTCTGGCCCTTGTCAAACAGTTTGACTGCTTCTCTCAATTCTTCCTTTTAATCAATGTCCTTCCAGGAAATAAATCAGGTGAGCTAGCACACGATGTGCAGACGTGCTTGTGCTGCTAGTCCCATTCTAAAGCTTTGCATCCATGCTGCCCTCGTGGGCTCAGGTAGTCAGGTTTGCGACTGCACCCAGTGATGAACTGAAGGTGCATCACCGGTAGAAATACGCATGCACTATAGTTGCGAATTGCGACGCATCACCGGGGCAAGGAAAGACCTGATCGGAACCAGTGAGCTCCATGGCACTACATAGGCATGTAGTTGCATGCTCTGGATCAGGGCTCAGGACTGGGATGCTTTTGACCTGGTAACCTACGGAAAATCTATAGTAGAGATGCTGATGAACTGATGTAGAGGTATTGCACCGCGCACGACAATGAGCCTACATGGCTACATCTCTGTTCCCCAATTTACCCGCAGACCCAAACCAATTTCATAAATCCTATAACATATCCATTGCCTAGATATGTGGCTATTTTCCTTTTGCGAAATCCGACAAGGTTATTGCGCTATAGAATCAATATTTTTATTGACTACTTAAGTGTTTTTCCTGCTAAATAAAAAAGTCAGAAAACTTTAGAAGTGTACAAGTTTATTTACATGACCTCGATCCTTTGTGAAGATTCTTGCATGGTTGTCGACAACATCTCGTCCTCATCGATGTCATTTCTTCCACTTCGCCGCCACTACTAGGTCGAAGTCATGACTCTTGAGAGGGGCTGTGGTTCAAAGCTCCCAATCAAAATTGCACAAAGGAGGCATTATCCAAATTGTACAAAAGAAAAGAGTGACACTTACTTTGAAGTATAATGGCATTAGTGTTGACAAAAGAAGTAGATACGTTAAGGGTATGTTTGGAACCCTTGCTGGTTGCTCGCCTCGTCTCACCTATTTGCACGGCAAGCTTGCCCGTCTAGGCAAGAAAATCCTTGCCAACATAGGTGAGCCAAATCGGCTCTCCTACGCGAGCAAGGTTCAATTGTGTGCTCCTGTGGGTAGCTGAGCCGTCGCCAAATCAGCCCCCACCACCACCAGATCGAGGTTCCCTGGTGTCAAACCAATCTTTGGCGCCACTAGATTGAGGTTCCTTAGCATAGAATCGATCTCAACAACTGCAAATCGAGATTCCCTGGTGAAGAATCGGCCTTTTACCGCTGTCGAATAATGGTTTCTCATTGCCGAATCGGTCTTAGCCACAACCGGATCAAGGTTCCTCGACACTAGATCGCCCTTAGATGCTGTCACATTGAGGTTCACCATGCTAAATTTGCCTCAGTCACTGATTGATCGAGGTTCCTCAACGCCAAAATGTCCTTAGATGCCGCTAGATCAAGCCCCCCTCGAACCGGCCTTACCCACCGCTAGATCGAGGTTCCTCGACATCAAATCATCCTCAGATGTTGCTTGATCAAGGTTCCCCAACCTCAGATGCCGTCAGATTGAGGTTCTCCCGCACCGATTCAACCTCTACCACCTTTGGTTCAAGGTTGCTTAGCGACGAATCGGCCTCCCCTTGAGCTATGGTGCGAGACGAGACGAGATGAACCACGACAAGGTTCCAAACACATCCTAAACAAAGAGTCATCGGAAAATAAAGGAGATTCTATCAATAGAGAAAGCCCCCACAACGGCGGCGAGTGAGATTAAGATGACCATGGAGTCTAGAAAGAAAGCAGAAGTGGTGGAGAAAAAACTTACCTTCATGGCAATGATAAGCAAGATGGTGGTAATAGTAGCAGCGACGGCGGCGGGCAGGGATATGGTGGAGGCTAGGGTATGTGATATTTATATACAAGGTGTGAAGAGAATAGTGTGGTTGGATCTAAATCCAATGGTTGAAATTGATGAGTGGAGGAGATTAGGGTTTGTCGGCGAGGAGAGTACAGAGCAACGACTATCTAATTCTAGCAATTGAAATGGTAATCTAGAGGTAGTAGCTAGGAAAATGCTTAATGGTTGAAACTTCTACCATATTATGCAAGAATTAATTTACATATTTCTACTTTTATCTATAACACCTTGTCTCCATACACTAAGTTTTTAGCACAAATCACCTAAAGCGTTAAACAGAACTAGAATATTGTTATAATTTTTCATAAATTATTCAGTGTGACGAAGTCATCAAGCATGATTTGTTTAAAATCCATATTAGTTTTTTTGTCAAACATGAATGTTTCCATCCTAGAAAGAAAATCATGATTATTACTCTCTTTTTATGTATATATCCCTTGTCCTTAAATATAATGGATTTTTAGTTTAGGTCAAACCATGTTAAATTTGAAAATATTAAAAATATCACCACTTGTTCAAAGAGAGCAAGCAAATAGGTCCGTAGCTTATCTTTATGAGAAAAATGTTTTTTTAGCAGATTGTGAGAAAAATGTTGGGTTGAAGTTGAACACATCTCCCCGCGGGAAGGAAGTGTATGGGCCTATAACTCATCGCATCCAATATGGGCCTGTAAAGTTTCTCTGGGATCGAATTCCTTTTGTCGGCCCATCCAAAAGAGGCCGTCGTGGAGAAACCAGGTTCGTTGCATTCGCGCAGCAAAAAAGAGGAAAAAGAAAGAAGAAAGAACAGAGGAAAGACGAAAGACGAAAGAGTACAACGCGGCGGCGACACCACCGCCCGCCGCCTCCCGCTGCGATGGCGATGCGTCCGCTCGCCAGGCTCCGCCACCAACTTTCCCCTCCCTCCTCCGCCTCCATGGCCCGCGGAATGGGTGGCCTCCCGCCTCCGACTCCGCCTTCCTCTGGCGCGGGCTCGCCTCGTCATCACCTTCCGCTGCCGCCACCGCGGCGGGTCGGGAGAAGAGCTCGAGACGGACTCTGGGGTACCTGCTCGGCGTTGCGGTCGCCATGGTCGGCGCCTCGTACGCCGCCGTCCCGCTATATCGTCGCTTCTGCCAGACTACCGGCTACGGCGGCACCACCCAACGACGCGAGGTCTGGACTTGCCCTCATTTTCGATTTGGTTCGATCCAGCTATTCTGTGTGCAGATGTGCGTTGCCCATTGTTCGTATATTAGGATTAGGTGCTCCATTTCATCACTGGCCGGCGCTAATTGCACTTTGCAGTTTGCAACACTCCATCTCTATCACTGGTAGGGTTTAGTAACATAAGCTGATACGGCCTACTATATATTTCTTGTAGAAATAGGCGCATTTCAAGTCTATTTTCACACCTGTGGTCACCAACAATCCACAGGCAACGTGAGTTGTGAGGAACGGGAATCTCCTTTACCGAGCTTTACTTTTAGGGTCCGTTCGGTTTTCTCGGAATGCACCAGGAACAATTCCAGCTCCTCAAAATTAGTATAAATTATTGAATCATTCCGGCTAGGAATTATTCTAGGGCCCTATTCCTAATCAACCGAACAAGCCCTTACTGGTAGAAAATTGTTCAGCATTCTTTGTACACATTGCCAGGTCTTTAAACATTACTCCATGTAGGTCCACACATAACGATTATGACCAATCAAGTGACAGCACGTCAACAAAACAAAGCATGCGAATGAGCTGTAGCCTTCCCGCTTCTAGTCCGCCTGTCCTTGACGACCCCCAGGTGTGACACCTATGTTATATTTAGTTCATAGTTATCATGTACTTATTATGAAGGGAATATGGTCTTTATCTGAGTTGTTAGGAGTTGTCTAGTTTTAAAGGTTGTGTTACCCTTGTTGCTGTGTTTGTTAAAAAAAACGTTTATAAAAACAAGGAATGTGAAGTCATATGTTCCACTGCCTAAAGCAAGCAGCCAGCAATGGTAGGGGCAGAAGGGAGCATTGCGCTGCAACAGAAACATCTCTGAGCCACAGTAAGCCCAGTGCCCGAACCATAAGATGGAGGTGAGTTCGAGTCTTGTAGGTGAGGAGTCCTGACCGGAGAGGCAGCTCCTGGTGGCAGATGTACTCCTACTCCTGCTATTGGCTTCATTTAAGCCTTTACTTGCCGCCCTGGACTGCTGGAGTTATCACTGGCTCAGGGCTTTTCATTCCTTACAGCTTAGGCTGAAACTGTTCTGGTCAGACATAGCCATGTACCATATCGAAAATTGTGAAATAGTACGACACATGGAAAATGGAGAATATTTACTATTTTATTAAAGAATATGGTAGCGAAAATGGAGAATATTTACTATTTTAAAGAACATGGTAGCAAATCAAGCCAATGGAAATATGCCAAACCAAAAAAATGGTGAAGGTGGGACTGGCAAGTTTTCATTTTCCCCACAGAGAAATGGAATGTCCCATCTTATATTGCACTCCATGCACACTGATGTTTGTACACTAACGTAACTCAGGAATGTGCTCCTTAATTTTTCTTAAAAGACATTATTGTTCTGGTTCATTTCCTGGGTGAATGCTGACATAGATGATGCATATATTTAGACATCACTGAGACATAATTATTGTGAATTTGTTTGTGGAATTGATTGGAATTCATATGCCTGTGCTATTTATTTGCTGCCTGATTCTTGGTATGCCAATTTCTTGACCATTGAGTAAACTTAGGTATGTCTATATCTAACTCTAACTTCATGCAATTGTTCAGAAATGTGGCTTATACTTAAGCAACTAGGAGTTTCCTTAGAAATAATTAACCCATTGAAAGTTTGGTACGATGTTATATCCAGTGTGAGTGTTCGGATTCATGAGCTTGAGTGTTTTTGTACTCTATGCAGAGTGTGGAGGAGAAGATCTCACGGCATACTCGAGACGGAACTACAACATCGCGGTGAGCCTGGCTGAACATGGGAATACCCAGTTTTTGCATTTTAGTTATTTCATGTTCCTGCATTAACACTGTATTACTGAACCAATTATTCAACGAAATAGTTTCGTCTGAATACTTTGGTTTGCCCTGGGATACCGAACGCTCCATTAAAGACCTTAGTTTCTTGGGAACACTATTTTGATTGAAAGATAAAAAAAAAAAGGCCTTACTTTTGTGGAAACACTAAAAACAATCGTGTGTTTTCAGCTAGATGCCAGTTGCTAAATTAGAATCTTCCTTTACATCTCAAACATGGCACTGTGACTTTCTTTCCTTGATGTCTGTTTAACAGTGTTTATGGTCACATGTACTTCGATTTCAAAAGTTAATCTTATATGACAACGCAGGACTTACAAGATCCAGTGAAAAGATATGTAGGACATGCAATGGTAAAGGCTAAGTTGGTACATTCTTGATGACCATTTTATTCCTACGATGATAGTGTGCTTTAATCGTATGCTAGCTCTTGTATAACTTGAGCAAACATATGCCTAGTTTCCTTAGGGCATCCGGAGTGTTGGGAATAAGCAGGTCCTAAGGAAGTTAGGGTCGACCTAATACATAACAAGGTTGACTCTAAGGAGGTTCTAAGTAGAGAATTTTTGAAGCCAGACCTCAAGCCAAGGCCACAACCTCAAGGATTAAATTATTGAGTTTGCCTATGTTGCAGTTGCCATCGCGTGTTCGGGGATGGCATTGGCGCCTCCCCCCACCACGGTCACCGGTGCTTGTGGTGGCCCTCACGGTGGTGGTGGTCACTGGTCGGATCGGGAGAGAGTGGTGGAGGGGACGGAGCTAGCGTTGCTGGGATGGGGGCAGGAGGCGACATCTGGGCTTGTGGCGCGTGGCGTGCGGTGGAGGGGGGCAAAGCAGGGCTTCTGGGATGGGGTGGTACTGTTGGGGGCGGAGGTGGTAGATGCAGGTCGGAGTGTAGGCGGCGCTGGAGGATGCGGAGGAGACAGATGTCGGTGGAGGTGGCACCAGATTGGGGACGAGCAGAAGTCAGCCTCTCAGGAAACTTGCATTGTGATTTTTTATTTGATATATGGTGGGGTTCACCTAAAAACTGATCTGGGCCTTAAATGCAATGGAGATGGCCTTTGAAATACGATGCCCTTATGATTTAATGAAGTAAATCGACCTTTTTCCCCGCTGCTTATTTTACATGCTTAGAGCTTATGCACTGATGATATCTGTATTTCTGCTGTTGTGTTTTTTTAGAGTTTATTGTTGTTCTTGCACTTTGTTTTTTCATTCGTTTTAGAATTAAGGCATTCATTTTGCTTGCAGAGAAATAATTGTTCAATTTAATGCTGATGTTGCTGATGGAATGCCGTGGAAGTTCATCCCTACACAGAGAGAGGTAATATTTGGGATTCAAGTCCAGATATTGAGCAGTTTCTGTCGTATGTATACTTATTCTGGTCCTATTTCATTTATTTTAGGTCAGAGTTAAACCTGGTGAAAGTGCTCTGGCTTTTTATACTGCTGAGAATCGCAGTTCAGCTCCAATTACTGGTGTGTCCACATATAATGTTGCTCCTATGAAGGTTTGAAATTGCAATTGGGTTCCGTTCGTTACTATTAACGTAATTCACATATACGGATGTACCTGCTGTTTCTTCTTGGAAGCTAATGACATTATCATTGATTTAGAAATGTTGTGTGATAGTTTGGTCAATTTGGCACAACACTGTTTACTACTATACTATGGTTTTTTCCTTCTGGCAATATTCTATAGTTTATGCTAGGTGTAAGTTGCACTCTTCTTCCATGAATACACCCTTTTTGTGAGAGCATTCTCGTATGGAACAAATTGTAGTCAATTTTAATTGTAGTGGGTGATAAGGATGTCATTGATATATTGTAACCAGATGCATGTAGCAGATTTTTAATATTATTTTCTGGATATTAGTTTCAGTAGACATCCTTCATTCCGAAGATTATAAAGGCTTATCAGGCTGCTTAAGTCTCGAATATTTGACCAAGTTTGTCAAATTGACTTTATTTGTTCCGTTTGCCTGTCAAAACTAATGGATGCTTTACTGTCTGTACACCTGCAAAATCTCAGTATGAAATAAAGCACACCATTGTTTTGAATCAAATGACTTATCAATAATGATGCACAATTTCACCCTAAAGCATATTGGCATGTCCTGGGAAGCAAGACTTGTGGGCAAATACAGAGCCACAGGAATGGTGTTTGGAGATTATCAACTTATCATTGCACACTCCTGTTCCGTTTTGCTTTGAAGTTAGATCAGATGTTGACAGATGAAAATTCGAGACATACTATTTTTGGTTTTGTGAAATTGCATGTCAAACACCAAAGAGAATTTGAGAATACAAAACTCTTGATAGGATGCTGCGAAATTGTCTGTCTATTCATGTTGCTATGGAACAGAGGCACTGAGCTTGAGAATAGTAACCATGTCATTAGCTAATAGAAGTTTTCACTTGTTCGTCTGAGTTTACAGCAGTATTTTACCTTTTATCCTGCAGGCTGCGATTTACTTCAATAAGATACAATGTTTCTGCTTCGAGGAGCAAACACTTCTTCCTGGAGAACAGATTGACATGCCAGTAAGCTTACTTTGTAAGCAATATTGCATACTGACTGTTTATATCTACTATTGTTCGTGCACTATGTTTTGACGACAAATGCTCGTGAAATTCTCAGGTATTCTTCTATATCGATCCTGAGTTTGAGACAGACCCCAAAATGGACGGGGTGAACAATATTGTTCTTTCGTACACATTCTTCAAGGTGAACGATAGTTAGAAAACTTGCCAACAGCATTGTTGTATTAGGAAAATAACACTTGAACAATCCATATGCAGATATGCTGCGAAATAGCGTCTCATGTAACACCAAGAGGATTTTTTTTTTGGGTGTAGTTAGCTCACATTTTTTTGTGGAGAATTTTGCAAATAATCTGTAACTGTGTACCCGAGGGTCAACGCGATCAAGTGGATATCAGTTTTCATATGCAAATATGCAATCTCAAGACTGAAGTGTGAAGTGATTGCATTTCATCGTAAATCAGGGGGCGAGGATTCCCCCTCTTTTTTATGTGACTGAGCGCACCTGCCATAAAGCTGCAAAAGCGAAACGAGACAGGTAAGGGGGTGTTTAGTTACCCAAACTCCTGAATTTGACACTATATAAAAAAAATTATTCATTACATCAAACTTACGGTACATGCATGGAGTACTAAATGTTGATGAAATCAAAAACTAATTGCACAGTTTAATTGTACTTTGCGAGACGAACGTTTTGAGTCTCATTAGTCAATGTTTAAACAATTATTATCGAATATAAACGAAACGCTACAGTGTGCTGCAGAGATTCGGCTAATCGGGCGAACTAAACAAGGCGTAAATTAGCCTTTCAGCCTTCGCTATGTCAGATCATCGTTAGTCGTACTCCGTATCAGCGGGTGAGGAATCTCGAGGATCCTACCGTTCGATGGTAGGGTCGTATCTTCTCAAATGTTCATCGCCCAAAAACTTCACTACACTGAATCGATCAGCTACGCTCCTATGCATGTTTAAGGAAGAACAATTTTTTTTTTTTTTGCGAATCATTGTAAAATAGAATTCTGGGACCAACTTCCACAGGTTGCGATCACCTACACATGCATGTTGAGATTTTTAAGGATGACCATTCATACACTATTTCAGAGAGAGAGAGAGAGAGTAATGAATTTTCTAACTTTGATCAAGTTTATAGGAAAAAATACATCATCATTTATAACATTGAATTAGTTTTATTAGATTCACCATTAAATGTGTTTCTATGTGCATTATTTTGAGCTTGTATGTGTTAATATTTTTTTCATGAAAAACTTGTTAAAGTTAGAGAAATTTAACTTAGAAAAAAAAATTGATACGGTACATACTAAATCGGAACGGAGGGAGTAGCTCACCCAGCAACGAGAAACAAGTAGTGCTACTGAACACTCATCCGTGAACATTTCTTATTGATGTTTAGGGTGCCCTTCAGAGCCTTAGGTCAGTCTTGATGACAGAGTTTGATTTTCTAGTTTTCAAGACTACCAAGTCAACTCTACAGACTGTTTGAGAAATGAAACTAACTCTCTTTCATTTCACTGTTTCAAAGACAAACACTTAATGTATGCAATATATTGTGACCCAATATACAATGTAAACTATGTGGCCTTAAAATTATATCAGAACATATACATTCGATCTCCTATTCCGGCTTGTTCTGTAAAAAAACTAGAAGCGTTGGTAGTATAGTAATCAAGGCCAGCAGCAAGTAATTCCAAAAAAAAAAAGGCCAGCAGCAAGTAAATAGCAGCAGCGTCCCACTGCGTCGTTCTAGAAGCGCCAGTGTTGGTGCATGGCGGTTGGCGGAGGTGGGTGCAGAGCGCGAGCTGGGCTGGCTGCTGGGGTTGACGGCGGACGCGGGGAGCACGACGAGGCCATACCACTGTGCCGCCGCGTAAACGCGCTTGTTCCGTGCGGATGCCGCCAGCACACCGCTGAAGGACCGCCGCCCGACCGGCCCGCCGACATCCTCGTCTGACGAGTGTGACTATGGCGAGGCTGAGGCCAGGACGGGATGGGGGAAGGGAAGCGCGATCGATGGCGACTAGCAGGCACCGACGGCCATGTGCGTTGGCGCCGCATAGGAGCGCGGGGTGCGCAAGGAGGATGAGAAGGATAGCGAGCGGGAGGAAGAATCACGATTCACGTCGCAGGAGATCCAGATGAGAGAGCTAGAATGAAACTCGACGGGCTCAGTGGAGGTTTCAACCGGTTTCATCACCTGGTACTCGTTCAGGTTGAGTTTCATCCTGATGAAACTATTTCTCCCTCTCCTCGTAAATATCTTGCTAACTCAGCAGTTTTGCTGATGTGTCACAGCATTAATTAAAAATAACGGTCTTTTTCTTTACACAAAATTATACTCAGGACTGGAGCTGCAGAATTGCCGGCATGATGCGGAATTTCTTGATCTCCCCGAGGGCAACTCCGAAGGCGACCACGCTCCCAACTCCGATCTAGCTCGCCTCACCGGCGATCTGGACCTGCTCCACTGCTGGCCATTGCAGCTACGGCGTCCACGTCCCGTCCACTGACCCTCTGTCGGTGCCGGCCACCGCATATCGCCGGTTAGCCGTTCTTGGCGCATTCGCCCACATAGTGTTTCTCAAAAACCCTATTCCCCTCTAGGGTCTAAGCGTCGCTTAGGATCATAGAGTTGGGATCGTCTTTGTGTCTGCGTCTTAAGAGAGCAGATCACGCCTGTTGCCCCTCTTGATTGGATCGCCATGGCATCGACTGGAGGTGGAGAGAAGGGAGCCCGTAGCGCCTGTAAGGAAAATGGACCATTGGTCCATTTACTTTGGATTTTGGTATTTGATGACCAACACAACCAAATTAGACTATTGAACTTGCAAGTGATTGTTTTGTAGTTCAATAGGATGCAAGACGTGACTTGGACAAAAGCGACGTGATGATCCGATGATCAACACCACAAGCAAGACCCTAGGAGCACAAGAGAAGACCCAAGATATCAAGCAAAGTCCAAACATGAAGATAGGAACCAAGCCGTACGTAAGATCGCGAAGAAACGAGCTCACAGAAGTGACCGGACTCTGGACCGGACGCTGGAAGAAAATGACCGGACGCTCCGATCAAGAGGCTCGGCAACATGCGCGACCAGACGCTGGACCGGACGCTGGCGGCAGATCGACCGGACGCAGGACAGCAGAGTCCGGTCGAGTACAGGGAGGTTCCAGAGCGGCGAAACTATGACCGGACGCTGGCAGCGTCCGATCAAGTGTTCGCGGCTCCAACGGTCCGGACGACCGGACACGTCCGGTCAGGACGACTCCAGCGTCCGGTCAGTAGAAGAAAAGCAGGATTTCGTCCCCAATGGCTACTTTCTCAGTGGGGCTTATAAATACAACCCCCAACCGGCCAAATGAAAGGAGCGGAGCTGAGGAAACATACCAAGGGTGTTGATACACCATTTTAGTGATCTCCACTTGCATAGTGCTTAGTGATTCATCATGTGATTAGCGTAGGTGCTTTACGAAGTGCTTAGGTTGATTAGACCACCGCTTATGCGCTTGCTCTAGGTTTAGGCCTAATGTTTAGTGAGGTTTGCACACCTCTTACCACTCGGTGCTTGCGCGCACCATTGTTATACATCGGAGGGGCTTGTAGTCTTATGAGATCACACAAACCGTGTTTGTGGTGTGGCCGCCACCGTGTACCGGAGGGAACAAGGCCCGCGGCGTTTTGGCCGGAAGCTTGATAGTGAAGACGGCGGGGAGCATCCGGGAGAGCCTTGCCGGAAGGCACGTCGGAGACCCACTTGCGCGTGGGGAAGCCCCGAGGCTATCTACGGAGTTACCCGACCGGGAGCTTGGCCCTTGCGAGGGATTCCTTGCGAGGGGCTCCAACGAGGACTAGGGGAAGCTTGCGCGCTTCTCGATACCTCGGTAAAAATACCGGAGTCATCGACGGGAGTTTGCATATCTCTACCTTGCTCTTTAGCTTCCGCATTTATATTAATTGTATTACTCCTTTTGTGGTAGAGATAGCAACACACTAGCAAAATCGTAGTTACACTTTTAGATAGTTCATCTTTTGCATAGGTTTTGCTAGGGTTAGAAAAAGAGACCATAGTTTAGAAGTAGATTTTTAAGTTGCCTAATTCACCCCCCCCTCTTAGACGTCACGATCCCTTTCAATTGGTATCAGAGCCGGTTGGCTCATTTTGGACCTTTGGCTTAACCGTCGTTGAGCCAATGCTATTTAGGCCCCGTTCGCTGGTGTGAACTTTGGCTGAAACTGGCTGAAAAACATTGTTCCGGCTGAATTATTGTGAGAGAAAAATATTGTTCCGGCTGAAAAAACAAGCCGAACAAGCCAAACTTTAAGACAAGCGAACGGGGCCTTAGAGTGGTTGGGATGGATGTCACTAGACCTCCGCACTTTGACGGCACTAACTTTCCTTATTATAAGGCTATAATGGCTTGCCACCTTGAGGCGGTTGATTTGGGTGTATGGAGAGTTACTCGTGCCGGGATGAAACCCATCAAGAATCCCGAAAAACCCATAAAGAGTGATGAAAAAGAAATGCATTTCAATACAAGAGCTAAAAATTGCTTGTTTGAATCATTTAGCATAGATGTATTTAACCAAGTATTCACTTTAAATACGGCACATGAAATTTGGTTAAAACTTCAAGAGCTCCATGACGGCACAAGTAATGTCCGTGAGCAAAAGTATTGTCTAGCTAAACAAAATTATGATTCCTTTATAATGAATGATAATGAGCTTGTTCATGATATGTACTCTCGTTTGGATCTAATTATCAATGAGCTCCATTCAATAGGATTAATAAAGCTAGATGATGCGGACATCGTGAGAAAGATCATCTCTGTGCTACCATAAAAAAATATGCAAGCATCATCACCATCCTTCACAACATGGAGAACTTGAGCACCATGACCCCGGGCATTGTCATTGGCAAGTTAGTGGCATTTAAAATGTCACGGAAGATAGGTCAAGAAGAAGCTTCTTCATCAAGCAAAGGCAAAGCTCTCGCATGTAGCGAGAAAAAGAAGATGAAGGGCAAGCAAATTGAGACAAACTCAAGCTCAAGCTCCTCAAGTGAAGATGAAGATGAGGACGATGATGATGATGAAGATTCAAGTGATGATAAATCTTCCTCCTCCACCTCCGACCTTGATGAAGAATCAATCAAATTCATCAACAAGGTGGAGAAGATGATCCAAA